CCGGCGTGGGCGCGGAACTGGACATATGGGCATGTTGCGCTCCGCATCTGTGTCATCGGTCGCGCTTTCTGTGGATGCCTGCGTGTGCGTATGTGTGTGTGCTTGGGGCCGGGCGCTGGGAACAAACATGCATCTGTTAATTTTAAAATAAAGTCCGTCGGCGAAGCTGCCAAGATTAGGGCTGCGGATAGGGGCGGAAGACGGAGGGGGTGGGGTGGGGGGAGCTAGAAACTCAAAAGGCGAGGCCAAAGCGCCTGGCCCAGGTATTATGTCTGGGGAAGGTGAGGAGAGCAGCTGCTGCTTCTCGCAGGGTGTGTATGGGAGCGAGGGTGCGTGTGTCCCTGTGAAGGGTACACCGATCTGCTCAACATATGTCGCCACAAATCACAGTGTCTGTCCTTCCTCCCACCCCCCGCTCCCCCACGCAGCTCCTGACACAGCACAGAGCAGAGAGGCGCTGAGAAGAGGCGCCGCTTCAACAGGTGTCTCGGTGCGCAATGCACCTTTTCACGCATTCACCGTCTCTGCCGCCGGCGGAAATAATGTGGATACTTTGTTTCCAGGCGCTGCGCGCGAGCTGCTGACGCCCGGGGGAGGCGACCCTGGGCAGGGAGGGGGATCTGGAAATAAAGACCTCGGGCGCTCCGAAGCTCCCGGGTCCTTTTCTCCCTTTGTTCAAGGACTCCCTAGGCTGAAGCTCCCTTTTGCGCCCTGGGGGGTGGCATATGGCGCCCTCTTACCTACCCAAGAAAAAAACCAGCACCCCTTTCAAGAGCGCACGAGGTCCCTGGCCCTGCGAAGGGGGAGTCTCCTAGGGAATGGGTTCTCTCCCAAAGCGGTTGAGGAGCCGGCCTTATCTCTTCCCACCCTACCTCCACCATCTCCTCAGCTGGCACAGCAGCCGTTGGGTGGGGAGCCGCGCGCTGGGCAGCACCAATCTGCGGAAGCGCCCCAGCTCCCGGCAGATGAAATATGGGGCTGGTGAGCCCCTGGAGACCATATGCTTTCAATAAAAGAAGACAAATAGGACCGAGATAGGCCTTGCAGCCAACCTGTTATAAATGAGTGGCAATTGGGCCAATGTACACGGGGGCAGGGCCCCCGGGGGGGAGGCTTGCTCGTGCCAGATCCATGTGTCAGTTTCTGGGACAGGTGTGCTCAGGGGCCAGGGGCCAGGTCTCCCCCCTCCGGGTTTATCACGGCAAAGGTAATATTGTGCTAACTATGAGTAAACAGTCATTGTGAAAAGGAGGGAGAGTTTATCAGAGGCGAACTAGTTGGGGGGTGGCTTAACAATAAAGTTGTCTGCCTTGGGAGCAGGTGACGGCTGGCTGCGCGGACTCCCGCGGTAGATGTTTTCCAAAGCACTCCACTTTACAATCTCTTGTAATTATTTATTAAACGAAATCTATTTATTATTATTTTAGCAAACACTGGAGACAGGTGGGGCTTTCTTTTCGTCGACTCCTTTTGTTTGAAGGGCTGTTTGAAGTGGCCAGTCTCGCCCCGGCAGCTCGCTCGCCAGATTTTTGTCTTCCCCTCTTTCAGTGCCGAGGCGAAGGCGAGAGAAAGAAGCCCCCTTCTCCCGCAAGGCCGTTAGCTATTCAGCTTCCCATGGCCCCCCTCCCTCTCCGCTCGAGTCTCAAAGAGCCCCCAGGCAATGCTAAGATTCCCCCGCCCTACAGAAAGGCGGTAGGATCCGCCGCTGCCTTCCCGCTTTTCCAGTCGGTCCGCGGTCTCCAGGACTCGGCTGTCGCCTCTCTCCCGGACCCTCTCAGCCTCCAGGCAAGCCTAGGTCTCAAGAGTCAATGGGGCATGAGGGTCTCAGAGTCCTTAGAGGCGGTGGATGACCGAGGACTCGGAAAAAGGCTCCGCTCCTCCCGGTAAGAGCCATTTTACAAACACAGCTAGAGCGCACGAGTCGTCCCCGCCTGCGCTTCTGCCTCCCAAAGCTCAAGAATAACTTTGGAGAGGGGTCTGTGCCCGCTTTGCACCTAAGAGGGAGGGAATGGATCCTGGATCTCCAATCCCCTAGGTCTCCTTGACCTCTGCCCTGGGCTCCTGGCCAGAAGAAGGGCATAGGGGAGTCCTTGAAGCTTGCAGAAAGGCGGCTGCCCCAGTCGCTGCGCTCTCTCCTGATTGCCTTTTGCGCAAAGCTAGAATGGTGGTAGTTGCAAACTCCGGAGAGGCCCGAGCCAGGAGGTTCTGAGAGGAGCTGAATAAAAAATCTAATTGGGTCCCAGAATTCTCTACTGATGTGAAAGTTCACAAGAATCTCCAGAATCTTCCCTGGTGCAAGAAGCTCCCTCCCTCTAACACTCTTTTGCCCCTCTGGGCAGTTCCCAGGCAAGGCCTGTGCCAACTGCATCTGAGATCCACCACCAAAGGACTGTGGCTGCTCTTCAGGCCTCCTGGGAACCACAGGAGTGCTTGATCCCTCATAGCCAGGGCTCCCTCCTCGAGTCTGCCTGGGCCCAGAGCCCTAGCCAGGGAAGCCTGCTTTGGGTTTCCTTTCCCAGCTCCTAATTTGCAGAACTGCAAGTCAGCAAGGCTGGAGTATGAGGAAGCACAAAAGCCCAAAAGTGAGGCATGAGTGGAAGCTGGCTCCTCATGCCTGGAGACATTCCTCCTTTTCTCTGATCCTGTCATTCCTCACAGGCTCAGGACCTCCTATATTTTCTGTATTTTTGGGTCTCTTGTTTCACTTTGGAAAAATAGTTCACCTCGAATCAAGGACAGGGTAAATCTAGGCCTAAGAGCCTTAGGCTCTGAGTTCTACATGGATCTGATAGGCACTGCTATGTGACCTTGCGTAAGTCACTTCCCGGCTCTGGGCCTCACCTTGTCTGTCTATAAAGTGGCCTGGTTTCCACTCCTATGACACTATTTAGTGCACGCTGTGACCTAAGGCAGGAGCTGCAGCAAAGGCAGAACCTCAGAGTCCTATGCCGTCCTATTGCGGGTCCTGCCCCAACCCCAGGCTTCATGTCCCATGGCAAAGGAGCTCACAGTGGGTTAGCCGAGAGTGGTAGGATGGCGCCCCCACTTCCACCTCTTCCTAAACTCCCCCCCTCACAGGATCCCAGGGATATCACCTCTGCCTTGGAGGGAAATTCTGCCCCCACCCCTGCCCCAGGAGCCAGAGCAGCATCCCAACCTCTGCTGAGGCAGACCTGCAGGCCCACTCTTCCTTACCCCATCCCTTTAGCCTCCCTCCAGCTCCTGCCCCTCCTGCAGTTCCTAGGAGTTTCTGAAATCTCTCCCAGAAAGCCAAGTCTTTGCCACCAACAGAGACTTGACCTTCAGCCTTGGCTTCCTCCTCCAGGCAGGTCCTGGTCAAGAGAGGAGCAGAAGCCTCAGCCCTTCACCAAGAGTGACAGGAAGCGGAAAACCATGGGGTGCCTGAGTGAGGACAAGAAGGAGGGGCTGGGGAAGAAAGGAAAATTATGCGTTCAGACTCACTTCGGAAGGATTTCCAGGCAGGCTAGCCCAGGCAAACCAGGGGTGTTGGAAAGTCCTTGGCTAGCCATTGCCTCCCGACCCAGCGGGATGCTGAGGCAGGGCTGGACCAGGTGACTGCAGGCAATCCCTGCCCACTTGTGACAGGACAGGGGGACTCAAGGGAGAAAGAGCTGATCCTGTTCTCATGGTGCCTGCATGCCAGGCATGATCCAAAGATTTGGGGTTCACTATGAACTCCTGGCCTCCTGACCTCCTCATACCTCCCTGGGCTCACTCACCCCACCACAGGACCTGGTCCGAATGCTAATGTAGTGCCTGCGAATGGGAACAGTGGGTGTCCTCTCGGGGTCCCACGATAGCCCCCTTCTGCCTCTGCGGTTAGATGGAAACATCTCAGATTGCGCATGAGGGTGGAGTGTGGTTCCAGAGCTCCGTCTGGGGCATATGGACAGCCTCTCAGGCATTGGCTGGGCATTGACGTCGCTATCTGAAAGGGACGTGGCAGGATCTTCCCCAGTGGCCCCTGTCCTCCCAGGACGGAGAGGGTCAGGGAACCACCACTCCACGTGTCGGAGGAGACTCAGCACAGGGGAGCAGGATGGCATTTAAAATTAATGGACACTCCTCCAAGCTGCTACTCAGGACATCTGGCTCCTTGTCCTGTCTCTGCCACCGTCTAACTGTGACATTTGGGACAAGCTGTCTCCCTCTCTGAGCCTAAATTTCCCCGTAGGTAACACGCTGGGATTGGCCTGCCCCACTGGCTTCCCAAAGGCTCCTCCAGGGTACCAAAAGAGGGTCTGGATAGATGCCAAGGAGAGAGAGGATGGGAGCAAAGCGGTCTGGGGCTGCCAGACGCCAGCCAGACGAGACTCTTCCTTCAGGGCGAGGTTCTTTGAGGAACCGAGAGTTGCTGGGACCGAGCCCGCGGGAGAGAGCAAACAGAGCGCCCGTTCTCCTCCCCCGACCCTGTCCCTTTGTCCGGAATCCAGCTGTGCCTCGCGGGGGAGGAGCGGGCTCGCGTGGCGCGGCCCCCGGGCCCTGGCGCTGATTGGCCGGTGGCGCGGGCAGCAGCCGGACAGGCACGCTCCTGGCCCGGGCCGAGCAGATAAAGCGTGCCAAGGGGCACACGACTTGCGGCTCGGGAATTCCCTGAGGTATCGCAGCCCTGCGGAGAGAGTGACAGAAGCCCGGGACGCCCTTCCCGCTTCACTTCTCCTCTGGGACTGGGGCACCTCCCTGGGGGGG